CAGGCAGCTGTGGGGGCCGGGGCCCCAAAAAACCCCAAGCCCTTCACTCCCATAAACCCCAAATCCCTTGGACCCCAAACCCTTGGCTCCCGTAAATTCCAAACCCTTGGCCCCACAGACCCCAAACCCTTTGTCCCATAGCCCCCAAATCCTCGGCCCCCATAAACTCCAAGCCCTTCAGCCCTCAGACCCCAAATCTCTGGCTCCCCAAGACCTTGGCCCCTATAAACCCCAGACCTTTGGCCCCTCAAATCCCAAATCTTTGACCCCTCAACTTCCAAACCCTTGGCCCCACAGACCCCAAACCCCAAATCGTTGGCTCCATAAAACTGAAGCCCTTGGACCTTCAAACCCCAAAATTCTTGGCGCCTCAAACCCCAAGCCCTTGGCCCCCATAACCCCCAAACCTTTGGCCCGTCAAATCTCAAATCATTGGCCCCCATAAACCCTAAATCCTTGGCCCCTCAACCTCCAAACCCTTGGCCCCATAGACGCCAACCCCCAAATCCTTGGCCCCATAGACCCCAAACTTTTGGCCCTTCAAGTCTCAAACCCTTGACCCCTCAACCTCCAAACCCTTGGACCCATAGACCCCAAACCCCAAACCCTTGACCCCATAAACCCCCAACCTTTGGCCCCTCGAATCTCAAACCCTTGGACCCCACAAACCCTAAATCCTTGACCCCTCAACCTCCAAACCCTTGACCCCATAGACCCCAAACCTTTGGCCCCTCAAATCTCAAACCTTTGGCCCCCTTAAACCCCAGCTCCTTGGCCCTATAAACCCCAAAACTTTGGCCCCTCGAATCTCAAACCCTTGGCCCCCATAAACCCTAAATCCTTGACCCCTCAACCTCCAAACCCTTGACCCTATAGACCCCAAACCTTTGGCCCCTCAAATCTCAAATCCTTGGCCCTATAAACCCCAAACCTTTTGCCCTTCAAATCTCAAACCCTTGGCCCCCATAAACCCTAAATCCTTGACCCCTCAACCTCCAAACCCTTGACCCCATAGACCCCAAACCTTTGGCCCCTCAAATCTCAAACCCTTGGCCCCCTTAAACCCTAAATCCTTGACCCCTCAACCTCCAAGCCCTTGACCCCATAGACCCCAAACCTTTGGCCCCCTTAAACCCCAACTCCTTGGCCCTATAAACCCCAAACCTTTTGCTCTTCAAATCCCAAATCCTTGACCCCTCACCCCCCAAACCCTTGGCCCCCCAGA